GAAACTCTCTTCTTCACTGGCATAGTTTCTACAGACTTGGTTTCTTTGCTCTGAACTTTCTTCAAGATTGGCTTCACTGGCTCAGCTCTGTGCACCTTTGAACTGCCTCCTTGCGTTCCCGTGCACCGTTTTCGCCATTCCTGATGAAAGCCTTGCTCAATCATACGCTTTGGTTGCGTATGTTCTCTCTTTGTACCCTTCGACTGGCATTTGACAACACTCATCTTTGTCAAAACTTCTCCTTCCAGTCTGTACAGTTTGTTGCACAATTTGCCTTGCAACAATTCTTTATCACCTCTGTGTACATGAAGAACCCCGCCACTAGATGAGAAACAATTTCCTTTTAGATCTAGCATACTCAGGGAGATTAGATTCCTCCGTACTCCTGGCACATGTCGGACCTCAGATAAAATTACTTTTCTTCCATCCTTAGTAAGGAATCGCACTGTCCCTATGCCGACAACTCTGTTCACTGTGTTGTTGGCCATCCGGATAATGCTACCGCTGACTCTTCGGTAAGTGGAGAAAAGCTTCCTATCCGCACATATGTGGAACGTACACCCTGAATCCAAAATCCAGCCGGGTGTCTCCAACTCTGACGAGATTGTAAGCATCACCTCTTCATCGTCAGAGGAATACACTGCAACTGCTGTAGTTGAGGGACCTCCGTGTCCCTTAGCCTTCTCTTTGGCTTGTCTGTCCGCCTTCTTCTCTGGGCAATCTCTTATTACGTGATCCTCTTGATCACAGTAAAAACACCTCCTCGTGTTGTCCTGTCTGGACTGTGAATGCCCTCTGCTTTTACTTCTTCCTCTACCTCTGCCCCTTTCTCTATCTCTGCCTCTACTTTCTGTGACAAGGGCATGGGACTGCTCTCCTTCCATCTCTTTCTTCCTTGCCTCCTCGTTGAATAAGGCGTCTGTGACCATCCCCATGATCAGCTTCCCTTCGGGTGCAGAATTACTGAGAGAAACCACCAACGTCTCCCAGCTGTCTGGTAAGGAACTGAGTAATAATAATGCTTGCATCTCATCCTCCAACTCCATTTTGATTGATGCAAGCTGGTTCACAAGACTGTGGAATTCAATGGTGTGTTCAGCAACAGACACACCATTCTTCAGCTTCAGGTTTATAAGCCTTCTCATTATCAAGGCTTTGTTCCATGCGGTCTTGGACTGGTACATGCCCTCCAATTTCATCCATAGGGCATAGGCGTCTGTCTCTTGGGCAACATGGTGGAACACACTGTGGTCAATCCACTGTCTGATTTGACCGACAGTCTTCCGGTTGGTTTTTTTCCAGTCCCCATCCTTGTCTCCATCTGGTTTGACCCCCTTTAGCGCTATAGGGTCAAACAAATCTCTACAATACAGGACGTCCTCCATCGGCGGCTTCCATATCGCATAATTAGAAGCGTTCAACCGTATCATCGGCCCTGAAACTGATGTGGATTCCTCCATCATCCAGAAAGTAATCTCTGTTTGAAAAACAGGCTTTGTTGTGAAGTCCGGACGGCACAAATTAGCCGGAAAAGCACTTCGGATTGCCAAAATAAAAACTGCAAATTTTTTAAAGCTTATTTGAAAAATCTGACTGTACGGATGTGTCCGAAATATTCCAAATAGTTGGAAAGCACTATTGGATCACCCAAATCGGACCTCAAATGGCTTAGATGTAGCCAAAACAATTTTAACGGTTCAGATCGGCAGAATCTGGTGCGCCTGCGAAGCACCAGATTACTCCTCCGGTTATGCTGATGTCAGGCTGACGTCATCGGCTCAGTCAGCGGCTCGGTCAGCGGCTCTGGCTCGGTCAACGCGGCTCCTGCTCGAGTGGCTTGGTGCGCGCGCGTGCGGCGCGTGTCGCGCGGCAACTCACGCGTCGTCTACCTTCGTCCGCGCGTGTAACGCGTGTCTGAGACTAGGACCACACGCCGGGAGCCTGCACGGCGCGTGTAGGCGCGTGACGCGACTGGGATTTACGCGCCAACTTCCAGAGACGCGTGAGGGCGCGTCCGGCCTCCGTTGGGTGTCTGCTTTATATTTCTGGACTCCTCTCGTCGAGTCCTTACTCCTGGTATGCTCAAAATCTGATTTCGAGCAATACGATTTCTGGGCAGTTTCGGAACAACACTCTGTTTTTCCGCAAAACGTACAACACCGGCTCTGATACCACTTGTTAGGAACAAAGACACCCAGAGAATTATCTCACACACACAGAGAACACAATATTTACGTGGTTCGGCCCAATGCCTACATCCACGGGCAGAAATGAGAATTATCACTAAAATGGAGCAAAAATACAATTACAGAGGAGGAGATGAAACTCACTCAACTCACAGCTCTCACTCTCCAATTTCTGATGATTCAAACCCCTCCTCACTCATCTCAATTTATAACTAAGAGAGGAGGAGTAGGTGAAGTGCTAGCCATAATTGGCCAAGGTAGTGCCACCCTCACTATCTTCCTTTAGTGAGTTGGTGTAGCCCTCCACCACCTTCTTTTACAACATGGTGCTACCTACAATATGTGAATGGTGGGCTCATTACCATGTGGGTAGTGGATGGAGCCAACAATAGAAGCAATTATTCTGAGCGAAGGAGGAGAGCATGAGATTGCAGCAACATCAACAGCAAATAAAATTGAATTTCCTAAACTAGACAAATTGTATCTTCACAAATTGCCAAGTTTCACTGCTTTCTGCGAAGCCATGAATGTAATTGAGCTTCCACGGTTGAAAGATTTAAATCTCTCTGGCATACCAAAGTTCAAGAGTCTCTGCAACCCTACTTCGGTGAGTAATTATGATACTGTCATCCAACCTCTCTTCAACAAAAAGGTTTGCTTCTTTGATTGAACAACTTAATTTTGCTACTTGATTTTGGATTCCTTTTAATTCTAATTATTATTCTTTTGTTTCCAGTGGAACTTTTTGGCTCTAACATATTTCCTTGAATTTTTGCATAATTGTGTTTGATGTGTAAATGTGGATTGGACATGTTCAGTTAGAATATGTTTGTGAGTAAGAATGCTAAACAAAGCTTCATATTAGTATTGAAGAACAAATGGCTATTTTGATATCTTTAATTTCGCCTAAATTTAGTTGAACCATACCAAAATCCAATTGTAATGTTTATTATGACCAAGATTTTGAAAGCATGCATATATTACAATTTTGAATGTCCAATTGATTATTTTTCTAAAAATATTTGCCAATAATGATGGTAATGCTGATCGAGAGTGGGAGAGGGTGGTGTGATGATTCGGCAACGTGGTATTGCTAGTTGAAAAAAAAAAAGGGAAATAAGAAAGGTGAGATAGGAAAAATAAAAAAGAAAATGAAGTGTTTAACTTCATAAATGTTAATATCAGTATTTTTGAAAAAAAATTGTTGCTTATGTCATGCACTCTATTAGTTTGACTTATCAGTTGATTATTGGAAACCTCAAGGAGTGGGATCTAAGAAGCATGGACACAGACACATGACATGACACAGATACACAAATTTTTTAAAAATGCAGGACACGACACATTGAGATACGTGCAAAACATATAATTTATATATTTATTATATGTCATATTTTTAAATATTTAATATTTATTTTTATCAAATTTATCAACCTTAGGTATGCTATTTTAATTTTAAAAAAAAACAAAAAATATTATTTTTTTTGAAAAAAATGGTCCTCAGCATGTCTCCAACGTGCCAGCAACATGTCCTAATGTGTCCACAGCGTGTCCGAATTGTGTCCAGCACATGTTCGTGTTCGATACATGTTGAACACCTGTACGTCATCTCTTCTCTAGAGAGGTGTCCGTACTTCATAAGATGGGATGTGATTTTTAAAACGTAAAGAGTGAATTTGTATTTTTGATAAACCTCAGGGGTGTATTTGTAATTTATCATTTTAATTATGTTTGTAACGGGAGCTTCCATTTGCACATCCCCATTCCCCTCTTTACACACACTTAATAAAAATTATTTTTATTATAATTTTATTTTCAAGTGAAATTATTATTATAGACATGAAATAAACACATTCGGAAGTTAAATGTCGAAAAAATGAAAAAAATTTGGAACTCTACTTCCGAACAAGTTGTTTATTTTCAGAACTCTACTTCCGAACCAATTGTTTATTTTCGGTACTCTACTCCCGAACCAATTATTTATTGAAAAAGATGTGTAAAGAGGAGAATAAGTGTGTGCAAATAGAAGCTCCCGTTTGTAACCCTGGGAATGGATTCTGCAGGTTAAATTTAGTAGCATTGAGAAAATGTTTTTCTCTCGAATGGATAACCTGATAGAGATATGGCCTGGGGAACTTGGAGCTAAACTAAGAGAGATGAGTATTTACAAGTGTCATGGGCTGTTGAATATTTTCCAAGCCAATTCGGTTAAGTTCATGCAGGACCTTGAATTACTTGAAGTAAAGGAGTGCCGATCTGTGAAGTCATTTGTTATGTGATTGGAAACCTCAAGGAGTGGGATCTAAGAAGTATGGACACAGACACATAACATGACACAGATACACAAATGTTTCAAAAATACAGGGCACGACACGTTGAAGATATGTGCAAAACATATAATTTATATATTTATTATGTCATATTTTAAATATTTGATATCTATTTTTATTAAATTTATTAACCTTAGGTATGCTATTTTAGTAAAAAAAAAAAACTAAAATTTTTATTTTTTTGAAAAAAATGGTCCTCAACGTGTCTTCAACATGCCAACAACATGTCCCAGCGTATCCGAATTGTGTCCAGCACATGTTCGTGTTCGATAGATGTTGGACACATGTACGTCATCTCTAGAGAGGTGACTGTGCTCCATAGGGTGGGATGTAATTTTTAAAACGTAAAGAGTGTAGTTGTATTTTTAATAAACCTTAGGGGTGTATTTGTAATTTATCCTTTTAATTATGTTTGTAACCTTGGGAATGGATTCTGCAGGTTAAATTTAGTAGCATTGAGAAATTGTTTTTCTCTCAAATGGATAACCTGATAGAGATATGGCCTGGGGAACTTGGAGCTAAACTAAGAGAGATGAGTATTTACAAGTGTCATGGGCTGTTGAATATTTTCCAAGCCAATTCGGTTAAGTTCATGCAGGACCTTGAATTACTTGAAGTAAAGGAGTGCCGATCTGTGAAAGTAGCATTTGATCTTGGGGGACTAATTGTTCGGGAACTAATTGTTCGGGAAGGCCATCCAGCTGTAGCACTCTTTTCATTAACAAATGTGAAGCTAATCCACCTACCAAAGTTGTCGCATGTTTGGATGAACAATTCAGCAAGAATTCAAGGCTTTAATCACCTAAGATCCTTAAGAGGTAAGGGTTGTGGCAAATTGAGAAATCTATTTTCGTCTTCCCTGGCCAAACTTTTTGTGAAACTACAAGAATTAGAGATAACTGAATGTGTGGTGATGGAGGCGGTCATTGCCAAGGAACAAAGAGTAGATGATGAAGTGACACCAAGTACAATCATATTCCCTCAACTGACTAGTCTCAAACTGAATGCTCTGCCAAATTTGATGAGTTTCTGTCCTCAGGATTACACTTTTGAAGGATCATTCTTGAAAAACCTACAAGTGATCAATTGTCCCAAAATGGAGGCACTCCCTTCAGTATTCCAGCACATACAAGAGCTACAAAGGAGCAATGACGGATTCCATGAAGATGTTCAGAAAACAGAAAAAGCCCCAAGAAAGGTGCATTAGTTTACAAAATTATTAACATTCAGCTATTAATTAACTCTTCTTTCTAAGTCTTTCTAAGAAAATATTTCGAAGATCCACTATATAACATTCAGCTACAAAGGAAAATAACTGTTGGGTAAACAAAATGGATTACTCTTTAATTATCATTCATACAGTAAAAGAGATTTGTCTTTCAAAGCTTGCTAATTGAGCGTCAACTAACTAGGATCAGGAATTGTTGAGTTGAGTTGATTCAGTGTATGGTCAATTGGGAAAAAAATTTCATGCCCAAATTTCTATGGTTACCTTTTACTTCAGAAGAAATGATAGTCTATTGCAGCCTAATTTGAAAGTGTCATAGCTTTCATTCTTTATAGAAACTCTATTTGAATATTTTGCTTGTTATAGGAATTTTCTTTTAAAATTGATCTGCTATGCCACTCTCTAAGTTTCAAAACAATGTTTTAGTAGGAATTTAGGAAACAAAGTTGGTAAAGATTGATCCTGGGAGTTCTGTTCTATTTCACCATTGAACAATTCATGGACAAAGAACCTAGTATTACAGTACTGTGAATGCTAACATTTTTACAATTATGTTAAAATCTATAGTCATTGTCAAGTGATGGTAGTCTACTATGGGCAGTTACCTTTGGTCATAATTTATAAGAGAAGACATTATCACCATTCCCCGCTGTGCATATGAATCAGTGAGCATTCATGCAAGGGTCACATTTTATTTGAATCGCTTCCTATTGAAATTAGCCATACCCTTTCCTGTGATGTTTGGCTACTAAACTCCTTTCAATGCCCTTTATCGACAGATGGATCTTAATAATTTTTTAGATCATTCCTATGTGGAGTTATTCTGGTTTAGTTACATTTGTCAAGGGTTTTGCTACTTGATATGGGTCCCTCATGACAATGGTTGACTGCTAAGAAGCACGGACACTTCTAAGAAGGTGACGTATCCGTGTCGTATCCATGTCGGACACCGACACTCTTTGGACACTCTTAGGACACGTGTCCGATACTCTTCAAAACGTGTCCTATTTTTTAAATATTTTTAAAGACCCGAACACTCTTTGGACACTTGGAAGACACACGTGTCAATTGTTTAAACACATGTGTCTATTGATTATAGATATGTAAAACTAATTATAAGTTTGAACAAAACAACTTAAGATACAATAATAAAACAAAAACCATATAAATTTATAGGAAATAGTGCTATATTGCATTTTTTATTATCTTTGAATGATATATTCATATATATAACATATAATAAATATATAAAATTATATATTTCATGTGTGTCCTCCACGTGTCGTGTCCTGCATTTTTTTAAAATTAACGTGTCGGCGTGTCCGTGTCGTATTCGTGTCGTGTCACGTGTCCGTGTCCATGCTTCTTAGGTTGACTGCATTATTTGAGCCATTTGTACTCCATATTAAGATAAAACTATAGCTACTTACAGGAATAGGCCTTGTGTCTTCCTTTAGCAATATGCTTGGTCATTTTTGAATTAGAAGCACCATTAAATAAAAAGGGCAAAAATGGGGATTGTTTATCCTCCCATGTTGTGCTGCAAGAATAATAATGGTAGGGTCAAGAATAGTCTAGGCTAGTAAGGGAAGTAAATGGCAGGATAATAACTGTAAGTGATTTCATATTTTTTCTAGCTTCTTTTGGGTGTTTGTGCTATTTTATTTTTTATTCTTTAGATTGTGTCCATGTTCTGACTTTGTTAATTTGCAGTGTTTTCCCCATAATCTAATTTGCTCTGCGAGACTTTTCTTCAACATTTTGGGTATTTAATTGTTATTCTGATCCCATCATTAGAAATTTGTTTCTTAAGGGATCTGCCATTAGCAGTTCACCTTTGTATTATGAGATTTGACGTTGTGTTTGTGTGAATTTGTCTAACCATTGCTAGGGTGAAGCATTCTTCTTCTTTGCCCATATAAACAAGTTATTATCCTCGGGTGGTTCACAGCCATATAATAACACCCGTTTCATTGCCGAAACCCTAGAAAATCAAGTTCGAATCGTCTACAACCTTTCCCCTAGATTTTGGCCATTACAACCACCCTAAAACATCGTAAAATAACTGTCGCCAAGAAAATCCTCCAACTTGCAACTTTGAAAAAATTAAGCCCAAATTGGCATTTTATACCTAGGAACCTGAAACTTTCTTCTCCCTTATAAAATCCTAACCTTGAAAGTTTTCTTCAACTAAAATCCACTGCAATTCCTATTGTAGGCAACAATACTACAGTTTTTCTAAAGTTGTCTAGCATTCCCCAGACTCGCTTTAATGCAATGGTTCACCCTTTTTTTCGCCTAGTCTTTCCACAATAGTCACATTTTAGCTAATCTTAATTTTCACCCCGAGATTAGTTGTATCTCTAGATGGCGGAGTATATGCTAAAGCTAAAATGTCTAATAAAATGATGTAGGATAGAGATCCTTCTACTTTGTTCATGCTGAACAGATGCATAGGTTTAACTGATAGTGGAAAAGGTCTCTCTACCAAGAACTTGAACCTGAACCCAGCCAGACTATACAATAAGACTAGCATAAAAATCACACACACGCTTCTTATCAGCTAACTTATGAAACTTAGCAGCATCGGATGGGCAATTAGTGTGGAAATCCTGATAATAATCCAACTCCTGCTAAAGACTATCATGCTCTGCATAATATAAGGTTGCTGTCATATCTCGTTGGTTAGTTTTATGAACCTTCTTCCATAGTTTATAGACTTGAGCATCATTACCCACTTAAGTCTGTGCAATAACATTTCAAATCTTACTTCTCGTATCAAGAAGTAAAAAACAAAAAAACAAAAAAACACATACACACACACACACAAGCAAGAGATGCCTACATAGATGTATGTAGTCATGACATCACCAATAAATTCTCTTAACACCATTTGCTACGGTACAGATAAGTCCATCTGCTGGTGGCTCTTTTGTTTCTCCCGTGATATATCCAGTTAGGCCTCAAGTAGAAATCAATAAAGCACAAGACCATGACCAAATGAAGTAGTTGCTAAGCATCCAGCTTAAATGCTTAGGCTCAAGGCACAGTGAGACACAAGTGAGAGGCTATAAAAAGGTACATATTTACATAAAAATATGTTAAGTAGGAAGAGTCTTTTGGAATTGTTAAACTAAAATTCCATTAATACAATTATTTCAAGTGATATGGCTTTGACTTAAATGGTGACTGACTGAGATTTTAGTTAGTGTTGGTCTTCTTACATGATACAAGTATTTGATAGAGACCTTTTGTGGGTTTAATAGTGCATTGTTTATTTATTTATTTTCGTTTGTTTCTTTCATCTTTTATAATTTTCTAGCGATTTGATATTCAAGTAAGTAAATAGGTGGTTTGAAAGTATTGGCGTTCTGGCTTAGTCAATAATTAGTACTATTACGTCACTAACACATTTAAGGTGACTCTCTCTCTTTCAAGACCCAATTTCAAAAGATACCCAGATCTCAAATTCCTCTCCAACATCAAAATCGATCATTAATCATTTTATGGGTTCGAACTTCAGCGATGGATATATTTTATCCTCAGCCAAACACTGATTAATGAACATCAAAAAATACCATAAAATAGAACATCACTGTGTTAACCATCATGAACATCAAACATTAAAGAGAGAGAAAGCAGGTCAATGGTTTTAGCTGAGGGTGAAAAGGCAACACAGACAAATTAGAATTTTCAATTTTGTGAATTTGTAGTCAAAACCTAAAAATTGATCGCTTCTATGGCCTTTTCTATAACTATCCTCAAACATCAAACATCAAAAACATCTTAGATCGAATTCGAGCCCCCCCCCCCCCCGCCATCGTCCCCCACCCCCCCATCCACCATCCCCATCCGACCACCACCACCCACCACCACCCGCCATTCGCCATCCACCTGCCACCACCACCCACTCGCTACCACTCACCACCATCACCCACTCATCCACCACTACCACCCACCTGCCATCCGTCACCCACCTGCCACTACCACCACCCACCGCCACTACCACCACCACCCACTCGCTACCATCCACCACCCGCCACCGTCACCCACCCACCTGCCACCGTCACCCACCACCAGCTACCCACCACCCACCGTTACCACTTTCCACCACCGTCTTTCACCGCCACTTGCCACCACTTGCCATTTTTCACTCTTTTTTATATTTTTAAAATTTTTTAAACATTTTGTCAATTACCAAACGCATTTGTAGTTTATGTTTTTCTAAAAATAAACAAAAACCAGTTTATAAAATTTTTATAAATATAAACTGAAAACGTAAACGTTACCAAACACACAGGCATCCAGCTTAAATGCTTAGGCTCAAGGCACAGTGAGACACAAGTGAGAGGCTATATAAAAGGTACATATTTACATAAAAATATGTTAAGTAGGAAGAGTCTTTTGGAATTGTTAAACTAAAATTCCATTAATACAATTATTTCAAGTGATATGTTTTTAACTTAAATGGTGACTGACTGAGATTTTAGTTAGTGTTGGTCTTCTTACATGATACAAGTATTTGATAGAGACCTTTTGTGGGTTTAATAGGGCTTTATTTGTTTATTTATTTTCGCTTGTTTCTTTCATCTTTTATAATTTTCTAGCAATTTGATATTCAAGTAAGTAAATAGGTGGTTTAAAAGTATGGGAGCTCCGGCTTAGTCAATAACTAATACTATTAGGCCATGTTTGATTCACAAGACTAATAGTGAGGTATTAATAATCCTATAAAATTAGTGTGATATTCACTATCCAATTGGATTAGTAGGATAAATTATCCCCTTGTCCATTGTTTGGTTTGCATTGGATAAGAAAACATATAAAGGTAAAAGAGTCTTTTTATTTTATTTCCCAACTCAGGATATATAATTTCATCCCTACCTCATTACTAATAATCCTACAAATTTGTTAGATTAATTATCCATTGGATTAATAATCCTGAAACAAAATTTTAAAACAAACACAGAATTATTGGGCCTACAGATTAATAATCCCAATCTCATACTCTAATCCTGTCAATCAAACATGCCCTTATGTCACTAACACATTTTACGGTGAATGGACTTTGCAGATTATTTTAAGAAGCCAGGGGGAATTGACTATCATGGGAATAGATGATGCAACTGAGATATAGCACAGCCAACTTGTAGCCAAATGCCTTCATGAAGTGAGATTGATGCGTGTCCAATGCTGTGGGAAACTGTCAACTGTTACTACATCGAGTTCAATGCAAAAGTTTCACAATCTTGCACAACTCAAGGTATGGTGGTGCAATTCAGTGGATGTCATATTTGACCTCAAAGGGATATGGGCTGAGGAAGGAACAATCACTCAGTTAAGTGAATTGGATTTCAAGTACTTGCCCAAGCTGATGCATATATGGAAGACTAATTCTACCCAACAAACTCAGTGCTTCCGAAATCTAAGATCTCTGAAAGTGAAGAGGTGTGACAGCGTGAGATACATATTCACACTTTCCATGGCCAAAGTCCTCTTGAATCTAGAATGTCTAAGAGTTGGACATTGTGAAAAGGTAGAAAAGATTGTCATGAGAGATGAAGAAGAAGAAGAAGACGATGAAGTGATCATGAACATGTGCAGTACTGTTTTCCCAAAATTAAGGACAATCAAACTTAAAGATCTTCCAAGTTTTGTGTGTTTTGGCCCTGGGGAAAATGATAGGGCACTACTTAATATTTGTATACAACCATCTTGTCGGAATTGATACTGACCTTGAGGAGGCAACTTATTTGTCCCGTACTTGTCCCATCTTCAGCTAAAAAAGGTACACTTAGTGAAATACAATGCTCAGGAGCATGGATCGATTGCATGTGTGAATGATAATTTACTATTCAACTGCTAACAAGTAATTTCTCAGTTTGAGTGTGAAATATTAGCCACATTACAAAAAATAAAATATCTAAATTGTTTTCTGTTGATACTTCTGACCACCAGTCCTATCAAAATCATCTTCAGGAAAATGAAAAAATTAGTCCATTTCAATTATACTTGAAGATATTTACTCTGAACTTTATGAAAGATGTGGAGAACTTGTTAGCAGTTGGATTAATTAACATCTAATCGAGAAATTCAAAGCAAGATGGAAATGTATCATCTCTGTCAACCAAATATATTTTTGTAACTGTCTCAAGACTTTCTTTATAGGTTGAAACAACATAAATCTATATCAGTCAAACAGATCTGCATAAGCCTTTCCTTTATTTAGAAAATATATCAAGAAGTAGAACATAAATCTTAACATATAATTTTTTTTTTTTTTTTTCATCTCTTCTTGTACTAGCTGTTTCTTCCACTCATTTTCTTTACTAATCTTTTCCGTTCTTTTCCATTTTCATCCGCAACATATGGCAGACGCGACGCAGCTCAGTGGGAGGAGGAAGGTTGTCCTTTATGACAGGAACTTGGAGGAAGTTAATGATCCATGAAGCAAATGATGGATATTTGGTCGAATCTATTATGTTTAGATCAGCAGCTTCCTCTGCAAACGTGAACCAATATGCAACCCAACCTATCACAATATCAAGAAACCCTATTTTCTCTCCTCCAAAGAACTTTTTACCATTTTCTCCTTCTATCTGTCCTTCAAGATGTTGCAATGCCTCAGCCATTGATTCAAGTGCCTTTGCTCGATCCTGTCCAACTGAATATAGTGCCTTGTTTGCTGTTTGAAATAACTGCACCAATAATGGTCATCAAGAAAGCTCATGAAAAAGTTAGCAAATTGGAAAAGAAGGTACTTATTGGAGGAAGGGTGTGTTGGAATGTGTCACACATCACATGGAGTTGCCCCATCTGTATTAGGCTTCAGTTTTCCTCTCCTTAATACCTGGTTTTAAGGAAAAGTGTGGGCTGAACTTTTCAATTTGGTATCAGAGTTTGGTTGGGCTTGTGATTGGTGAGGGTGTGTTGTCATTTGGAGTTGCCCAATCTATGTTGATCATAAGACTTCAGTTTTCCTCTTTTTAATACCTGAGTTTTAAGAAGTGTGGATCGAGCTTTTTAATTGGGTGACATGCCTTATACTATGTCTTTGTTTCTCTTGCCTAAAGGAGTCATTGGTGAGTTGGAGTTGCAGAATTTTAGGCATTTTTTAAGGAGTGTTTTGTTGCTGTTATGATTATTGAAGGCACTGTTGCTAGTTAAATTTTGGGGGGTCAAAACTGTGGGTGGTGTTGCTGATACAGGACCTGTTTTGTTTTGTATTTATTTATTTATTTATTTGTTTTAATATGTAAAATTGGGATTATGATTATGGAAGGATTCTTTGCTAGTTTGTTCTCTGCGGCAGCAGAAAATTCTATCGGCGCTTTGGTATGCCTTGATCTAACTTCTTGGTGCTCTGCTTTATCTGCACTTGATGTGTGAGCGAAAGATCAATAATGCTATGATGACTACATTTTCTTGTTTTGTTTAGTTTACCATGTGCATTGGTAACAAGGATGAGCGGTGGGGCCCATTTAATCAATATAGCGTTGACGAATAAGGTGATGTAAACAAATTGTGGGATGATGCATAGGCTGCTGATAGCTAGGGAGGTGATGTGTTTTTTGGGGTGTTTTTTTTGAGCTTTTGTTTTCTGTTGTTGGCATCTTGTCTAACTTTTTCAATGTTGGGATGTGCCTTTATTCATGAATATATATATATATATATATATAAATATATTAGGAAATGTTTAAGTGTTTAGAATTGAGTATTAGGAAATTGATCTAGAAATAAATTGAGAGTTGAGATTCATATTGTGTATTGTGAGTTCATGTATAGATTAAATTTTTGAACCACATTTATAAGTTTGGGTAAAATTTTGAGTATAAATTTTGGGTATGTAGTGTGATTGTTTATTAACTCATTTTAACTTATTACTTGATATGACTGAACTCGTTTGTAGAGCTATTCAACATATGAGTTCAAGAGCTGAGGGCAAAAAGATGCTGAGCAAGAAAAGAGATAAGTGAATTGGTTACCGACATATGATACATAAAATTAATTTAAAAAACAAAAAATAGTTGAATCAATAATGAAATTAAAATAACAGATCAACTACCAAGTAAATATATTTTGTTGTGGATATATCAGAATGGAGTACCAAGAAAAATCAATTTAAATATTCATGAGTGACAAACAACATATATATACCAAATACACATGAAAATAAAGTAGTAAAAAATATGAAAAAATTATATGACAAACCAATTTTTCTTTTGAAAAACTACTTGTTAAATTTTCTTCGCTTTTCTTTATTTCATTTTTTAGCTCAAAAAAAATTCAATGATAGGATTATTTTGGAAACAAAATCAATTTATTATTCTACTGACGTTTATACTAATTAATTTTGGAAAGAGAGTATCACCTGTTCATCTACGAATTTTGCCCAAAAACGAGCGTAAGCTCTCTCTAGAGGATCAATTGGCAAGATAGGATTATCTTTCCATGTCTCATCAATATACTCGAGAATGATTAGTGATTCGGATATCACTTTTTTGCCATGAATGAGTACCGGAATCTTCTTGTGAACTGGATTCAATTCGAGAAGTAATGAGCTTTTGTTCCTGAGATCTTCTTCTACAAATTCATAATCAATACTTTTCAATTTCAAAGCCCATTCAACTCTGTGACTAAATGGGCTTAACTTTGTTCCCAAAACCTGCAAATCACTCCCACCCATATTGTTAATGTTGTTTGTGCCACTATGATGATCACATAGAGAATTGTTGTGTATTTTGGTTGAGCTAGAAGTGTGATTTATTTAAAAAGAAGCACACAACTTGAAGTGTTTTTGTTTTCAATTAAAGTCAATGTCAAATAAGTATTTTGTTTTAATTTATTGGACAATTGTTGATACCAAGAAGAAGTTGATGTCAAGTAGAGACATTTAGTGAATTGGATTTATTGTTAAGGAATATTTCCATATCTCTCTAAAGATTTCTTATCAATATTACTGCTTCACTTATTGTTTTGTGATTTTAATGTATGTTTGTTATCATTTGGCTTGTAATATTTTAAACAGTAATGATATTTTATATAGTAATGATTCATCTATACAAAATTTTCACCCGACTGTCTTTGAATAGGTTTCCTACCAATCAGAGTTTGATTTCTTACTAGTAAGAGTCTCATTCAAGAGGGTTCGAGTGAAAAATTTATGTGAATGAATCATTAATCTATTTTAAATGAGAAAATGACATAATTTTATTTAATCATGGTTACATTATGTGTTCTATATGTGAATATTATATGTGTTCATATATGTCATCATAACGCATTATATACATATCATATGCATCCTATCACAAATTGGTACTTTCTCCCTCTCAAAATATTAGTTTATTATTTTATTTTTTATTGTCCCAAAATATTAGTTCATTTTCAAAAATTAAGGACTAAATAATATGAATTTTTTATTTTGCCCTTCTTTTAAATTCATTAACAATGCAAAAAATACAATTATGACAAGGAAAATTTACCAATAAATCTCATCTTGAGGAATGACGATCCATTTAGTCCCAAAATTTTTTTACAAACCAATTAGTTCCATTGATTTTGAAAATAGATTTAATATATTATTTAAAAATTGAATTTACGGTTATAATCTTGTTTTTATTATGCTTCCTTCTCTTTTTTTCTTTTGTGCTAGAAAGTTAAAATACACGATTTATGAGAATCAAATTTGGTATAAATTTTTATATAAGAATCTTTTTTATTTGGAAACATTTCAAAAGGAATACAAAAATGACTTGAAATATGAGATTCTTCAAACATTCTAAAAAGATGTGGGATTCTTCAAACATTTCAAAAGGTGTATAAAAACTCCTTAGTAAGCTTTGGACAAATGTATAATTTCAAATTATAACATTCTAATGTAACATTCAAACGTAGCACTCCAATGTAACACTCCAAAAAAATTCTTAATATACTTTTTTCAAATGTAACACTCTAGAAAAACTCGTTAGTGTAACACTCTAATGTAACATACAAAAAAACTTCTTAATGTATTTTTCTCAAACGTAATGCTTCAAAAAAAATTCTTAGTGTAACATTCTAATGTAACACACACAAAAAAATTTCTCAGTATATTTTTTCCAAACGTAACATTCCAAAAAAAAAAAAAAAAAAAAAAACTCCTTAATGAAACAAAAAAAAAAAAAAAAAAAAAAAACTTCATACTATATTTTTTTCAAACATAACACTCCAATATAACACTCCAAAAAAACTCCTTAATATAACATTTTAATGTAACACAAAAAAAAAAATAACATTTTAATATAACACACAAAAATTTCATAGTGTACTTTTCTAAAACGTAACACACTAATGTAACACTCCCAAAAAGGATGTGAGATTCTTCAAACCATTCTAAAAGGAGTAAAATTTCTTAGAAAATTTTGGAAAATGTATAATTTCAAACTGTGAATGTTACGTTTGAAAAAAATATACTAGGGAATTTTTTAGTGTTTTTGTGTGTATTACATTGGAGCATATTATATTGGAGTGTTATCTTTGGGAATATATTGATTGGAATGTTACGTTTGGGAAAAATACATTAAGGAGATTTTTTTTTTTTTTTTAGTACTATATTGGAGTGTTGTATTTGAGAAAAGTACACTAAGGAGTTTTTTTTTAGTATTACGTTAGTCTTTTAGTGTGGTACATTAAAGTATTATATTTGTGTTCGTAATGTGAGATTTGTTCTAGAATAAGTAATTTTATATTTGGAAAAACTCACTTTTATTCCAAAAAAATTAAACCCAAACATGTAAGTGACTACCCTTTTGTGTAATTTATACTTTAATGGGACCTTTGGATTCATAAGAAAAAATGAAAGACTAAATAGTTCACAAGATCACATTTTGGGATTTATTGGTGCTTCAGCCTTATGACAGTTGATATTTCCAAAAAAAAATGTACTATCAAAGGGTAATTTTGCAAAGTTAATATTTTTAAAATGTAATAATTATACTACCAAAAAATTTCCCAAAATGGACTAATATATTGAGATGGAGAGAGTATAATTTTACAGTAAAATTTCATAACATTAACTACAAAATACGTAATCTCACCAAAAATAAGCGTAACAAAATGTACAAAATTGTGTGGTTCATGTAAGAAAAATTTATAGTTTGGTTATGACATTTTTTGTTACATCAATTTATGGTAAAATTACGCATTTTGTGATTGATATTACGAAATTTTATTATAAAATCACACCAATTTATAATAAGGTGCATATGATATGCACCTCAAGAGTTGCACAACATAGAGTTTTCCTTTTTTATAATAATCTGATGCCTTTGTTTAAAAACTAAAAAGCAAATTACACTAACGGTCTTTCTAGTTTGGGACTTGTATACTTTGATCTCTAACCTTTCAATTGTGATACATTTGATCATAAATTTTGAATCTCATTCCAAATAAAGACAATTGAAGACATTGTTGCTCAATTGCAAGGGCAAAGTTGTCAATTTGATAAAATATAAACTAATTTGACAAAGATAAATGTCAAAATTATTTTTAAGTTTTTAAAAATTATTTCCACCCGCCAAAGATAAAATTATATAAAAATGATAAATATTTACATTTTTATTTTTTACTAAATTAATTTTTAGTATGTGTTTGGATGATGATCATGTAATGGTGGTTGTTTTTGTTGATGTTTTTGGATGAGTATCATGTAATAATAGATGGTTATATTTGTTGTTAACAGATATTTTTGTATGGTTATCATGTAACACCCCAAAATAAATACAATAACCTGTCCACAATATCAATAATTAACGACAATGATAACGTAATCATATACTGACATACATTCACAATCCTAATCCTGAATCTATAGCATACATTACATAATAAGGGAAAATGACGAAAGTTAAAACATATAAGAAATGCCCTAAAGGCTTACAACTTTCCAAGACGGTGCTTGGTTACAACAAAAGTGGAATTTAAGTCCAATACAGTTAAAGGCCCTTGGCCTGTACAAAACACATACAAAAAAATAAACAAAATGAAACTCTTACTCCAAGTCCTCCCAAGCTATTGCCTTAGCGGAGGCATGCCATCAACACTTGAAATGTTTTTCCCACATAGAATGAGCCAAAGCCCAGTAAAAATAATCCAATACAATATATGAATCTTAACAAAGATATAAGGTGAATGCATATGCAATACTTATGCCAAAAAATTTTGTATATATTTCCAAACCATACAATGCCAGGTTAATATCACAATTCATAAATCATTTATTTTACAATAAAAAACAAAGTAGTGAATCATACTCTAGGAATTTCAAAACAAATACAACCTTTCACGGAAATTTCATCCGTGAAAAATCGTAAATCGGCATCTATGTAAATGTAGGCTATACAAGAACTACTATTGCCATTTCACAGAAATTCCATCCGCGGGATCGGCACCCATGTATACGCGCGGTTTTTAGGACTTTCACCATAGACACTCAGGCCAGCTTATTTCAACAAGACAATACATACTTCCCAAGTTTACCCATTTTTCTCAAAACGATAAACATTTCCAATGTATAAGTGTGAGATAATGCTCAATGCAAATGAATGAGAAAATAGTTTCAATTCTCTTAATTCTCATGCAATTTTCACAACAATCATAGTTATCCTCCACTGATAGCTCAAAACAGATATTTCTAAACAAATAATTAATTTCCATAAAGATAAACTTTCAAATTTTTAAGATATGAGTGATAATACATAGCCAACTCCACCATCCTCATCAAACCAATCCAATTTCACATTTCCAACACCAATTCCATAATTTATATAAAATCAACATTTGACATAATTAGTGCAAAACTCCATTTTCTTCCAAAGTCAATTCTACATATCAAAACCAACTATTTTATCACAACTCAACCTTATTTCCAATCCCACAACCATTTTCATAAAAATGGTTAGAAAACCCCTCTTTTGAGTTTTGACCAAAACCCCTAAATTTATTCAAAATTTTTCTCAAACCACAATATTGCTTCAAAACACAAATAGCTACGTTAAAACTTATAGAAAGTACGAAAAATCCCTACCTCAAGCTTAGAAGACGAGAGGGAGAATGAAGGAAATTTAAAGATGCCAAAAATCAACTTTGTTTCGATTAGAATGAAACCCTCGTCGAGCTCTACCTTTTTAACAAAGGAACACGGGTGAAAAGTTCGACGGATCTAGGTGAATTTGAGTGAAATAGATGGGTTTTAGCGAAAGAGTGAGAGAAAATAGGGTTTTAAAATGTTTAGAGAGAAAGAGAGAGAGAGAAGTGAAAAAGTGACTTTACTCACTGATATACGCGTAGCTCGCTCGAGCGCAAGAAGTGTCGCTCGAGCGACCAGATACAATAAGTTGCACCGCTCGAGCGCAAGAAGTTTTGCTCAAGCAAAGAATACCAACTCCTAGAAGTTTTACCAACAGAAGCCCACTGCTCAAGCGAACTCAAGTGCAAGAAGCTTCGCTAGAGCGAAGAATGTCAATTTCCTGTACTTTTGCAGACCTGTAAAAGTACTGAGAGTAGACTACTCGAACGCAAGAAGTGTCACTCGAGCAAAGAGGCAAAATTCTAGGCAATAATAGTTTGAGAAAAACAAGCTACCAACCCCCGGCCTGTACCAAATGCAACCAAAACACAACGATGACCAAACTCAATGAGGTGTAAGATGAATAAGGACATGAACAACCATACACAACAATAAAACCTGGATCCAAAACATCAAATTGGTCGAGTCTAAACTAGAATCACTATATATCATGTAATTGATGTTTATTTTAGACTATTAATGTATAATCACTATGTTTAATATATGAAATATTTGATTTAATAATGATATCAAAACTGTTGCCATGTTTTATTTTTAAAAAATATAAACTAATTTAACAAAAATAAATATAAAAAAATTATTTAAAATTTTTTTTTCTACTCTACCAAAAGATAAAATTTTATAAAAATGATATGTTTTTAATTTTTTTTTCACCAATTTAACTTTTAGTTTCGTAGAAAAAATTTCTAAAAACTAAACCAAACAGAACTTTATAACTAAGAAAGTTGCAACATTATTCTTTAAAAAAAAGCCATTACATTTCAAACAACATACATATTAACGAACACAAAATAAGTTGTATGACGACTTTACCCTTCAAATAGATCGTTTGCAAAAGAAACATCTTTGATTATCATTATTTGAATCAAGATTCTAAATTCAATGTCAAATGTATCACAATTGAAAAGTCAAGGATCAAAGTGACACAAATTTCAAACTACAGAGACTGTTAGTGTAATTTGTCCAAACTAAACTATATAAGTCTTAGGGCCTGTTTGTTTTAGTCCAAAGGCCATGGGATTAGGGGTGCAACTCGGGCAGGTTCGGTCGGGTTGGGAGGTTGTCCATGCCCAGCCCAAGTTGTGGTGAAGTCTGCCCAGGCCCGCCCAAGCTCGAATTGTAACCCGAGGTTGCATGTCCAAGCCCGACCCGAGTTAAACCCGAATTGCCCAAGTTGCCCAAATTGCCCAAATTGCCTGTATTGTTTTTTTTTTGCAGCTACATTATTAAATTATTAAAATTTGACTCTATTTATATTTTTTTTATATATATAGAAAATCATTAATACCATCAAAACAAATAATTTATATAATGTAAGAAAGATGCCGCTATAGTAGTCTTTACAATTTATGAGTGAAAATAAAAAAAAGTAAGATTTTATGTTATTTGTATATATAATATATATTCAATATGATTTAATAATCTAAATTATTTTAATATCATGTAATGGCTAATAATTTATATATGTATTTAATATTTTTATATATCTATATATGTATAATTCAGGTTTTGAGTTGCTCGGGTTGTTTGATATCCTTGCCTAAACTCGTCCAAATTTAATTCGGGCTTCTGAAATTTTTGCCCAAGCCTGTACCGAATTTGAAAATATCTTTTCCAAGCCTTAAAAAAATTCGGGCTGGGTTCGGGTTGCTCGAGTTGAGCCCGCCCAACTTACATCCCTACATGGGATTAGACTAGTAATCCCATGGGTTCTACACAAATTGTGTTTGGTTCGAACAAAACTCTAGGACTAATAGTCCCTTAAGACTATTAATACCCTCCAAAGAGGGGACTAACAATCTCATAAGGGAGATGAGCTTGGTATTCTAATCCCATGGGATTGGAGAATTGGAGGGAAATAGTTAATTTTGCCTTCCATTTTACAAAAATAACAAATTTATATTTTGTATGTGTTTTTTTTTTTTTTTTTGGTTAGAGAGAGAAGTGAAAAAGTGACTTATAAAAGTGACTTTACTAACTGATATACACGTAGCTCGCTCGAGCGCAAGAAGTGTTGCTCGAGCGACCAGACATAATAAGTTGCACCGCTTGAGCGCAAGAAGTTTTGCTCAAGCAAAGAATACCAACTCCTAGAAGTTTTACCAACAGAAGCCCACTGCTCAAGCGAACTCAAGTGCAAGAAGCTTCGCTCGAGCGAAGAATGCCAATTTCCAGTACTTTTGCAGACAAGTTAAACTTCTGGAACCAAACGTTTTTTGCTCGAGCGCACAAACGGCTGCTCGAGTGGACAAGCAACTTCGAATGCATTTTTGCATTTTGCTTCGGGTGTGATACCCCTCGACCCCGCCTAGGCGCTACCCCAGACCCGCCAAGGGGTGCCGCCCCCTAAACCCCTGCGAGCTGACCAAACAGCTCGATCCCCGACATAGTCAGCGAAGTGGCAAACATAAAAGAATTAACTTCTGAAACATCTTCGCAAGGCGTAATTTGGGTTAGATTCGTATATAAAACTCAAAGATCTACAAAACAACTATTAATGTCACAATCTCCAAAACAACTATTAGCGCCACAAGAGTATATGAAAAAGCAATAGACATATGACAAGATTATCTTGAAACGTAAGATCGAAATATGAATAGATGTAAATTAGAGATTTTCAGAACATGTAGCATAAATACATGATATCCTAAGACACATCCACCCGCCAAAATTGCTCCCTTTTTTTGTTACGAATTGGCAAAAGAAGCTAAAGAAACAATAAAGAAGCAATGCATAGCAACAAAGTAAACCAACTAATGCCAATCTCCCTTACCAAACCAACCAATATATGTTCATGCAAAAAAAAAAAAACTTGCAATGATTAACCAAACTCCCACTCACTAAAAGCAACCACAAACACTGAAAACAATGAACAAGAAGGAAAATAATATGGTAGAGCAAGTAAGGAATTTCAGATTTGTACCTTAAAACACACAAAATTATCCAAGAAGCACAATTACTTGAAAACACAATGTGCACAGTTTCTAGAAGATTCCTCATAAAAGAAAGAGATGCATTATGTGAAAAGCATAGATCCCATGAAAAAAGTGTATGCGTGACTCTTAGAGTTCGACAAACACTAGATTCAAATCCTAGTAGCGATCTGTAAGCTGGACCTCCGGCAAGAGAATCTAAGCACAACTAAAGAAAGTCAAACCACTAGAAATCAAGGAGTATTTGGTGAGTAAAAACGGAGGCTCCCCCTCAATCAATGAATCTTTTTTTTTTTTTCCTTTCTTTCTTTCTTTCTTTCTTTTGCACACTTTTTTTTCTTTTCTTTTTTTTGCACATTTTTTGTTTCTTTCTTTTGCACACTCATTGGCGGCTAATACGCTCAAGAGTATGGAAATCGAACTAGAGAAACATAGAGACAATAAGGATAGCCTGGTTGGTGGCTCTGAGGTAGCCTTTTCCTCATGCCTTAACTACAAAGAATGGAGAGGAAAGTCGTGGAGATGCAAAAAGATGGAAGGTGGTTAAGAGACTCAACATAATCCATGATGTGCTAGTATATGTCAATTCATCTAGAAATGCAAAAGAAACAATGCCAAAAGTCCATACAGAAAAAAAAATCACTAAGGCAGAAGACTCCAATATTTGCTAATCCAAGAGCGTGTACAGAATGAGACATACTAATCAAAGAACACACACTCCAAAATGAGCAATGACCACAAAAAGCACACACATATTAACAAGTAATGGATATTCTCAACAATTCCAATATGCCACAAGAACTTCTCAAAAATTTCAAGCTTGCAAAACCATACTAAGAAAATCTTTTTGGTTTTTTTTTTTTTTTCTCTTTTTGTAAAACAAAGCAAGATATAAAAAAAAATAAAAAATAAAAACAACTCACATTAAATGATACCACACATTAAATGACCCAAAAAGAAAAAACACATAGAAACCTAAAAACTAAAACGAATAAACAAATTAACACAAGTCAAGTTTTCTCACCCAAACCGCTTTAGTATGAACAGAGTTATGAGAATTGTTGTTCTTGGGTGGTGTCTTGATGTTGTGATTCCCTTCCTCTTCAATAGGAACCGGTCTCGACGTGGTTTCCAACTTCCTATT